TGCGTCTTTCGGTATTAATTTATCTCTAAACCCAGCATTTTAAATTCTCAGAAACGATCATTGCGGGAAAATTGTGGGCCGGGACTAAGATTTTTGAACGATCGATGCGATAAAACGATAGTTCGAGGAACGATAGAAGTGGGAAAATGTAACATTATTTTATATGGGATGTATTCGGGACCGAACAAAACGGACGATGCATCCGGGAAAACGATAGTTCCGGGAACGATGGATAGAGGTTTCACTGTATAACTTCCAAATTTGGCTTAAAAGTTAGGTAGTCTTGAAACTGTTATGGGAATCTTAGTATTAAGATTTTACTATTAGTATTTGTATTCAGGGAAGCCATTTACTTTTAATATGCTTATGGTGAAGATTTATGGTGTTATATTCTATTCATCTTTAGTTTATGGAGAGCTGTTACACTCTGTTCCCATTTGTATTAATTACATTTTTGTTATAAGTTTAATGAAGTTTTCAGGTAGTTTGATAACATGAATATTTGTAATGTCAAAGAATGCAATATAAAGAAAAGCCATAGATTTAGGAATAACACATGCCACGTACCCAAGTAATAAACATACAAAATTACAATTATAACAAAACACAATTCATCAAGCCAACTATTTATTTCTACATTGTGTTTCTCTGGAGTTAAAGCAGCCAGGGCTTGAATTTGATTATTCACCTCTGTGTAGTGCTGAGATTAAGAGAGCATAGATCTTTATCACCACTGTTCTTGAACAGCTTCATAGCATAATGGTTGTACACATTGTCATATTGATCAGTCTGTCAACGTTTACATCTTTAACCATGTATTATAAATATTCCAATATACCTGGAAACTAAGGATGATTGCTAGGGTATTAATTGAATACTGAAAAAGAAAAGATAAAGTGGGTGAAGCTGAAGTCTAATGGCCACAAGTTTTTATTTTATTTTATTTATTTTTTCATAGGACTGAGTACCTTACATTACCAGAAACAGCTTCTTAATTTGATAGCAAGTGGCATACAGTTTCTTAGGATAAAATCTGTGTTGTCTTGTGATCCACAGCATTAATATTTATGTTCAAAAGTGTCATGTCTTTGCTATAAAACATTAAATAGATCCTGACTTTCCTTCTACTCATTCTTTTCTAATGAATACATTTATCCTGATTTATGCATCAGTTTTATTAGCTGTATTTATTTTGGAATTTTAAATTTTAATTTAAAAAAATATAATGTGTATATAGCTTTTCTTTTAATTAACTGATATTTGGTTCTGTTTTGAGACAAATTATATTTGTTAATATTATGTAGGAAGAACAGTGGCAACGCTGGCAAGAGATCAGGCAGAACCGATCAGAGAGGCAGATGTGTAGGAAATACATGCTTGAGCTTGCAAAAAAGCACTTACATAAAAGTATGCAGATGCTCGAGACAAATGCTAAATGTGAAGACTCTACACCTTTTGAGGACTATTCTTTATTTGTATATCGTCAAACAGCCCCTGCATTTCAAGATCGTGTCAGAGATTTGGAACTGAAACTGTTTTATCCTGTAAGGCAGTTTGCGTTGTGATTTATGTTGTGTTCATGGCTGAAGCATGTTACTTCTATATAAAAAACTCCCCTATGTGCATTGATGTTTCTAATTAACTAACCAAAACTTAGGCTGTCTTAAAATATGACTTCAGATAAATGAACCAATTTCAGTGACTGATTCTTAATTTCATGAATCATATCACAAATGTTACACTTCCATGTGCAATAAAAATTACAGAGAAAATGTCAAAACTACATGCACAACTGTTGGAATTATTTTGACAACAATTATTTATCAATAATGTCCCATATCATCTTTCAGTTACAGTGTGGATATTCAAAGGTAAAAATTACTTTTGAGTCTTATGTCTGTGTCATGAACCCTTTTTTTAAAAAATGGAATTATTTGAAAAGTTTTGTACTAACATTGAATAAACACTGCTTACGTACTATCATATGAAATTTGATCTACATTAGCTAGATATACACTGGAATTTTAACTCATGTTTAATGTACATTGTAATTGAGATCAGAAAAAGGAAACATTAGACCCATTCTGAGTGCATTTAGCATGTATTCAAGATGCTGAAATAGTCTGCAAATGAGGAATTTAAGGATGTTATAGAATGTAATAATCAAATTTTTTTGTATGTATTCAGAACTCTGTATTTTTTGTGTTTGTGACAGCTTTATACAATTAACATTTTGTGTTGAATTACACTTTGAATAAAATTTTATCTCTTTGCCATTGACAAAACCTAGATTTGTGCTAGTTTAGTAGTAAAGTCATTAATAGAAACATTAATTTGTTTGAATTATGACTAGTTCTCATGTGTGGGACATGGAGTAATAATTTTCATGTAAGTCATACACATAACAAACTTTTGTTGTCTTTAATGCAGTGTAATGTATACTGTATATCTTTATCTTGAGTGGGACAGACTGTGTTCACAATCAACTTCAGAGTGAATAATATTGTTTATGGTTTAAGAAATGTTATGTAGTTGATAATTTTCACAGTAGTTGGGCACTGAAAGGATGGTTTTTAAATTTGAAAATTATAGTTATTTTCTAAGAATAATATGTGTTTTAAATATGCATGTGTGCTTTTCTGTTTTTCCATTTAATTGTGCAAAACTGACTTATTGTCATACAGAGTGATAATATCTGTTGTTGAACCATAGAAAACATAAATTTGTTTTTTGTTTCAAACAATAGGATCAAGAAACAAGAGTATTACTAGAAGCTCGCAAGGGTGCTGTGGATAAAGACTTATCAGGTCGTATCAGAACTCTGGAGGAGAAATTGAAGGGTACAGCTGTTGACAAGAAGCCAAAAGACCTGCGACGTGCAATAGGTACAAAACAATGATAATACCATTTATGTTATTTTGCAGGATATGCAGTATTAATGAAATCTAATTTACATTTCAGGAAAAATAGAAAAGACAGATTGGAATGTAAGAGAAATAGAGAAGAAGATTCTTGAAAATAAGATGGGACATAGTGTAAAGCATGAAAGACCAGAGAAAGTACCCAAGTGGAGTCGTGAGCAGTTTGATGACAAGGTATATTTCAACACAGAATTCAGATGTTGCAGATACAATATTTAATAATTATGCAGCATATGTAAATTAAAACTACAGTGGTTTGGTCTGAATATACGAAGGTTAATTACACTTAATTTATGAGAATGATGTCAGTTACTTGTTACTGCCAGTGTTTGTCTTACGTGATGGATATGAAAGAAATGTATATTGAGGGCATCATGTCATAAGGACATACTAACATATTTCCATAATTGGAGATATTTGGTCTAATAACATAAAGTAATGGGATGTATGTCATGCCAGAAGGGCATAATGCTGATGCTGATCTACATAGAGATATAGACATTTACATTTGGGTGTATGAACACTAATAATATGCATATGTCAAAACAGTAAGCATAAGAATTTAGTCTGTATAAATGTGTCATTAATACAAATTGTCTCTCCTTTCAGGTAATGTGAACCTTTAGAGCTTTGAATGTATGCCTTACATTGAATGACGTATGGCAATGAAATATGTTATAAATTTGTCTGTCATTATTGATTTTGTAAGATTGCTTATGTATTTAATATTAGTATTATTGTTATAATTTTATGATAAATCTAAATAATTTTTGTGATACTTTTGTAGTTTCAAGCAGTAAAATCAAAACTTCAAAGGAAAGGCCATGACAAGGAGACTCCAAATAAATATGCTGATATTGATGCAAGTTTCAAACAGTTGGACAGAAAGCTTAAGGAAGGAAGTGTTGTGCAAATGGGACCACGTGGCAATAACAAGGTTTCAGCCATTGCAGAACAGCTTTCTGGGCGGAACCAGGAACCAGAGAAGCCCAACATACAGAGATCGGTTTGTAGTCACAATTACAGATACAGAGAATTGTACTAGATGTTGCTTGCATCTTAGAACAATTTTATTTGATGTCTCATGAAGAAAAGTGGAATGCAGGATAATAACATTGAGACTTGAGAATATGACAGAGATAAACCTGTACTCAGTTGACACTTGCCAGTCAGTATGCAGCATTTCATTTTTCTGCATGTACTTTATTGTGAGATTAACTGTGAAATTGATTTTGATTTATAGTTGTAAATGTCATTGCTAATTGCAAAACATCTGCTGAATTTTATTAATTACATGAACTAATCAGATGATGTTTTGCAGGAGTGAGTGCTGCTTTTGTATAAGGGGTACTAAGAAGTAGAATTTTAATTCTTATAATTGAATTATTTTTAACACTATCATATAATATTTGCTTAGAAGTGTTTTCAGTTGTCCAGTGTATTACTTTATGTACATCTGAGCTCTGCTTCTTCTAAAATGTTTCTAGAATTCAAAACCTGCACTCTTCCTGCCCACTCAAGGTGGCTCTGAGTCTTGTCACTTCTGTGGGAAAAGAGTTTACCTCATGGAGCGGCTGAGTGCAGAGGGTAGGTTTTTCCATCGGGGCTGTTTCCGTTGTGAATATTGCAGCACCACCTTGAGACTGGGTATGTAATTCTTGTAGCGGTTTTCTGTTTTTTTTCTCTTTAAACTCAAGTGAAGAATTGTGATTTAATTATTTTTAACAAGTATTTCTCTAGCTTTTCTCTGGTCTATTATTTAATTTTGTCTCTGTAGGAGAGATCCAACACATCTAACATAGAAAGAACTTGCTTTTAAATAATGCGTTCTTAAAAATAGTAGTAGTAGTGGTGATGGTGGTGGTGGTGATGGTAACAACAACAACATGCATTTATAAGGAATAACTAATTCTGACTCAGTTTCATGCTTTGTCCATTTATGCATGGGTTTAGTTTGTTAACTCAAGAACTAATTGGCATTGTATTGTTGGATTATAAACTTCCATTATCTAAGTATAACATTAATAACACAAGATAAGACTGAAAGTCTTCGCTGTAGGAAATTAAATTTTGAGTTCTGTCTTTATCTGCAGGTTTTCTGTATGTACTAATGGGCAAGAGTATTGATATACAAACTTAGCAGGTGCTATGTTCTCATACATTTATTCTTGTGTGTTCATTTTAATTTATTGTTAAAAATTATTATATAGTTTGCAGACATCAAGGGTTTTATCTGTATCAGCTAGTTATTAATTTAATTTGACTAGGCCAAGAATATTATGCAGAATATTTAGAATGATTTACATTACATATAAAGAATATGAAATGGAACAAATGAGAATTCAGGATCTTGATTCTAATTTTCATAGCAGCTAATGAAAGTGACATATTTGAAAAGGAATTCAGATTATTGGTATGAGAAAATGTGGAATATCTAAATTAAGCAGATGAAGTATGATTAACTGTATGCATAAGATTTTTTTATGTTTCTGTTCTTGGTCCATTTTGCCTGCTCTGAGGCATTTATTATTTTGTGTTTTTTGTTTCTTGTTGTATATATGGACTAAAGTGTCATTGCATTCTGTCAGATTTCCATCTACTTTCATGTGAATTAAACAAACAGGAGTTTACCATGGAAGGTCTTGTTCATACTTCAAGAGAAACTAAGTATACATATATGATAAATCTCATTAAAGATGGTGTTTCAGAAGGTCAT